GGCATTCCATCTTAGTCCTCACGGGTGACAACGCATCTGCATTTTGATTTGTAATAGAGGATAGATGTAGATGTCTATGGGCCGCAGCAACCACTTACCATCAGGTGGACTGTGTGCTCGTTTGTCACCCTTATCCTATAATAAAAAAATATCGTAACAACTGGCTCGTATTGACCTCCGCGGGTTATTTGCATGCTATTAAGACATAAATAAACATTAAAAAAATTCTATCTGCCTGTCTGATTGTCCGAGATAATCTTCGAAATGGACAGATAGACAGCAATGCTAGAAGCCATCTAGGCTATATTTTATCTTCGTAATCATTTTTATATGCATTTAAAAAAAAAACTGGTAAATTAACGGCCTTTGGTTACTTATCTTAAATCTATATAAATCCAAATTAATAGATCCTATACGAGGCGAGTCGCTAGTAAAAAATAAAAATAAAAACGCTTTGCTTACATTCCATTACTACTCAAGCTTTAACACGAGTAAAAATATAAATAGTAAAAAAATTGCAGCGATCTATCACAGATAATTAATAAAAATAAGCCGCTTAAACGGAGACACAGCAAGCGGTCCAAGAGAAGCGCGTCCGCCGGAATTAAACCTTGGACTCTAGGGAAATCAAACGCTAAACGTCCGGGCAGGCAGTCTTATTTATTTTACGTCGTACCGAGATTCCAGCTTAATGAGATGCTTACGAAATAAGCTTCATGGAGATTTGTAATGACACAATTTTTAATACTACCCGCTTTTTCATAAATTCATTAGGGGTAGTGCAGGATTGGAAGAGTCAAGTATAACAATGACGGCCTCCACAATGTCTATTTTAAATATACTTTAAATAAAAGTAATTAGAGATTGTCGGAGTTCACCGTTACTGTCACAGCCTATCAAAAGTTTCTATCAAGAGGGAACTTCTGAGCAGTAAATGAACTATAGTACTTAGAGAGGATGTACCCTAATGGACCTCTACCTTAGTAATGGCCTACAGATCGACTGTCACGACCCCAGCCGCAACGGAGGCTATCCATCGGCGCAGGATTGGATTATAGTGACCAAATGTATGCGCAATCACAGGTGCACTCTGTATTCCTCCACTCTCATAGTCCGACGGGACGGTAAACTGATACGACCAGAGCGCAGCACCAACGACTTTACGTGCTTTCCGAGCCACGGGGGTGATACACCACCAACTTTCTGACTTCGAGAAAAACTCAATACTGATATTTTTGTCCCGACTGGGGATTCGAATCTGGGACCTCATGTTCGGCAATCGTGTTACAACCATTAGATCAACGAGGCACTCTACTCTGCCTAGTTATTAAATAATTAAATTAATCATAAATTAGTTATTTTACTTAAATTACACTACCGTCTGCTACAAAATTGTAGCACCATTAATGTAAAAAAAGCAGAAGAAAGAGCGTGGTAGCGCCATGCTGGAGCTATATTATGGTTGTAGCATGAATATAGAATGGGTCGGCTCGACCGGGAAAGAACCTCGCTCTCAGAGAATACCAGCGTAAAATAACAGCTGTGTTTCTGCTGTGTTTCATATGATGAGTGTAGAGAATCGCAAACACTTTTTACTGGAAACGAGGCATTCCATCTTAGTCCTCAAGGGTGGCAACGCATCTTGGTGATTCTTAACACTTTCACTGTTTTCCGACACAATAGTAAGACAATAGCAATGACTTTTAAGTAGTGCACGTGACATGGAAAGGGTTAATCGAGGATGGATGTAGATGTTTATGGGCCACAGCATCCACTTACCATCGGGTGGACTTTGTGCTTCTTTGTCACCTTTGTTTTATGAAAAAAACCGGCCAAGCGCTAGTCGGACTCGCGCACCGAGGGTTCCGTACAAATTTGATATGAAGCTCAATATACGTGTCCATGAGGAAAGGGGTAGTAAGTTTAAAATTATTAAAAATATTTTTATTATATTTTTAATTTTCCCTTTATCTGTGCTATAAGACGTTGCTTCGCACCAAGTTTCAAGATTCTGAGTTCACGGGAAGTACCCTGTAGGTTTTGATTCCCTTGCAAATGTCGAAAATTTGCGGCATAAACGGCTGTATCTTTTGATTGCGTTGGCTTAGAAGCTTTATTTTTTTACAGCTTCAAGGGACAGTAGACTTGAGTATTTGATATGAACTTCAGCTTGATATCTCCACGCGTTCCTGAGAAAAAGGGTCTTGATAGACAGACAGACGGACAACAAAGTGATCCTATAAGGTTCCGTTTTTTCCTTTTGAGGTACGGAACCCTAAAAAAACTAGCATACCTCATCATAGACCCGGACTTGTTAGATTATTGTTAACAAATTACGACTCGGAACTTAAAGACATCGCTTGGCTGCTTTAATCTTGATCCATGCATACATTACAGCCTACACGTCTACTGTTAAACACAGGCCTTCCCGTAAATTGTCCCGTAGGGGGATATTTGTCACAGTTGCCACGCCGCAGTTTTTCTTGTTTTTTATTTAGTAATTATTAGAAAGATGCTGCTGCCCATCTCCGCTGACGATGGGTGCTGTAAAGTACTCGAATCGTCGGTAATTCAAAATAAATAAACATGCGCGATAAAATCCGGAAAACTCAGTTTCATTATCAAAAATATCTTATATTTACGAAACACTACACATTTAGTGTTTCGTAAGCATACGATACTTCTTGGTCATACTTGGTCATATATCGTAGTATCGCGATTATTTTATATTATTTAATGCTCCCAAAGCTTCAATAATATTCAACGCAACTACGTTGACGGCTCCATGACACAGTGGCTGAGCAATGAGGTGCAGCCCTAAGGGCCGCGGGTTCGAATCACGCACGGAACTCGTATTTGTATGACTTATAAATAATCGTTCCGGGTTTGGATGTTTGTCCTTGTGAAATTTATGTATGTAAACTGCCCTCACAATACAGGACAAAATCCTAGTGTGGAGGTAACGTTTTAATAAAATAAGAAATAAAATAATAATAGAAGAAGGTGAGAAGGAGAAGCCGGGGCGAATCGCTAGTCATAAAATAAAAGTAAGTATCAGGCTTGACCGTGTATAAGTAGCGGCACGAAAGTCTAGCAGTGACCGTAATTGCGTATAAGTCGCGGTGATTGGCTTATTGCAAATAAGTTGCGCTGATTAGCTCGTATGTATCGTTCGCACGCGCTGATTGGCTCTCCAGTCGCATTCGTGCAATTCTATTCGTGCGCGTCCCCTCCAAGTTTCGTTCAGCGCAAGACTTACGTACCGCGACTTGTAGTGGCGGTGTAAAAATTTCTACTATTCCCATCCCGTGAGTGTCATAATAGGCAACAGAAGGGATCCAAACAAAGAGATATGCAGTAGTGGCAGTGTCTTCTAATATATATAATAATAATAAAAAATAAAAAACTGCGGTATGCAATCCGCCTATGACAGACAGACAGATATTTAAAAAAAATGGTTGCATACCTTTTAACAGCATGCACACAACCCCCTGAGCTTAACAGTACTCAGTTATTTCAATATTACAGACATACACGCCAATTTTATTTACATATTTACTAGCTGGTACCCGGAGCGTTGCTGCCGTAGAAAAAACAATTGTGGAAATATCGTTTTAAAGAATGAGTTATATTGTTTAAATAAGAATGATAATACAATAATGCAAGTTAGATGATAAATAACTTTAAAACTCGAGTCACCTACTGAAATTTTATTGTACTATGTCCATAACTTTCACGTAAGTGCCAGTAATGAGTTGACAAAGTTTAGCGCAATCTGATGTACTGTATAGCAGCGTATAAAATACGAACAAACAAAAATTAATTTTTATATATTATATGTAGATATTAAGGTCTGTTTCGTTCTTATTGTGCGAAATTCCGAAAACGCATTGAGAGATTTCGAAGCCATAAAGTTGGCAGAAGACTTCTCACAATATTGCGAAGTGTCTTCGGATCTTATTGGCCAAATAACAAAAGATCACGTTCCGAATTAGTCTTTGTTGGAGACGGTCCCAGGTATATTAAATGAAAGTAATCAGACTAAGAAATAGCTTTTTTTTTAAATATTATTTATATCCCATATCCCATGTTGTCTGGGACTTATAGGTCCCAAGTTCATGTGAAACTTAAAAAAAATTGTTACTATGTTATTTGCCTATCATGTCGTAAAATGCGACTAATGGAATACTTATTAGGTACGATTGTGTAGGCGTGGCATTGAGATAACCACCTATCATAATTTTCCATTAAAACTTATATATTTTAGCTACACTTGCTCCGAGCTCTTTGGTTTCTGCCTTCCCCCTCGGAGATTACAGGCGTAACGTGATTATTTTGCAGAATTCTATGAAACAGTAGGATGCTTCATAGAATTGTCGTGTCGGGAGTGGGGGGGGGGGCTTAGTAGCCGTGGCTTGGCTACCCGTGGTGAACAAAGAGGAACCCCTTGGCAGGTCCCCTCCACGGCCTCCAACTCCACCTGGAGGGGGGCGTGCCTTATGTTTCTGGTGCGCCTTGCCTGAGAACACCATGGAGTTTTAGTCGGTGCGAGTCCGACATAACCCGTCCTTGCCCCCGCGAGGCGTGTACGCATGTAAGCATTTCCCCATGTACAAAAAAAAGATTGCTTCATAGAACCAATAATTGCGGTAGTTATTACACATGGCTGGCTGATTGGCATCCGCAGTTTTTTTATAGTTTAGAGTTTTTCCCAGAAAATGCTACTGCCCTTGTCTTTAAACTGTGCTATCTCTATGATTCTGACGGCTCCGCGGCGCACAGGCTTAGTATTGAGTTGCAGCGTTGAGTGGACGCGGGTTCATTCCGATACGGAACAAGTATTTGTATGGCTTACAAATAATGGTTACGGGTTTCGATGTTTGTTCTTGTGCAATTTATGTTCGTAAACTGCCTCAACGGAAAAAATTCTAATGTGGGGGTAACGTTTAAAAAAAATTAAATAAATATTATTTAGTAAAAACAAAAATTGCCAATCTTACCTTTAACGGCGCTGAGTTTGTTCCCGACCATCTGCTTGGCCACGAACGCCGCCATCTTGTCTTAGTTTTTCTTGCTTTTAGGAGCTAAAACCTGAAACAACCAAAAACTAAATTAACATTTTATATTTTTCTTTCTATCTTGTTTACCAGCCCCTAAAAGTCCACAGTTTTCTGGAGACCATTTTTACGAGACGAGGCATTCCATTATTGTCCTCAGGGGTGATAGCGTATCTGCATTTTGATTCTTAATCGGGGATAGATGTAATGTCCTCTAGACAAGTCACGGTGGCCAGTTCCATTATAATGTCCGAGTGTAAACGCAAGCACAGGTGCCCCCTCTATTCCTTCACTCTCATAGTTCATGGGTCGCAAATCCGATGTGACTGAGAGATCAGGCGCAGAACAAACGGCTTTACGTGCCATCTTCCTGACTCCGGGCTGCTACTGAGAATTTCTTGACAGAAGAACTCAAGATTCGGGAGCTCATGATTAGCAATCCAGTTTACGACCATTAGATTAACGAGGCAGTATCACCATCCACTTACCATCATATGGACTGTGTACAAGTTTGTCACCCGCATTCTATACAAAAAAATAAGGTGGACATAAGACTCTCTTATTAAATAATAAAATATAATGTACAATATTTTATTATATACAATATTAAAAACTTAAAAAAAAACTAGAAACTTAATTATCATATAGTCCTACTCCCCGCGGTGTCGTGCCAAGAACGCTGGCTGCGTTTCCCCGCTGAATGGCTATACTTAGCCTTTAAGCGCGAAAAGAACCAGCCCTCTTATCTCCAGTAGCAACGACCAGCCGCGGATGGAGTAAATAATACGTTTATTTTGGTAATCTTGTTAACAACATAATACTGAGACTTTCCAGTGAATAATCAGAGGATACTCGTGTTGGGAATGACCCGCTACTTCCCTTAAGGATTACAAAAAAGTAAGATTACAAAAGTTTAACTTCTAGAAAATTTGTAATTAGTATGTGTATATTAAGGAGTGTGTGAATGTGAGTTTAGGAGTGTTGTTGTAAGTATGATGTGGGTGTGTGTGTGTGTGTGTGTATATATATGTGTTGGTGGATGAATAAAGTATAAGTAAGAAGACTAGTTGCCTTGCAAAATAAAATTTTACTCATCAAATATGAAAGACGGCGTACTGTTAGAGTGTTACCTGTAAATGTATAAGATGTTGGTGATCTTATTGTAAAAAGAACTGGCCTTAGTCTTTACGCATCGCCGGCAGATAGATGATCATAGTACCATACGTGTACCTTTGACGCTGTGCGTATCGCCGGCCTGAATGTTTTACGTCTGAATCGAACGACGTCGTTATAACCACGATAGCGGTACACCGCTATCTATTGGAAACTATAAGATTTCTCTGACATTACCTATAGTTGACTCTTACGACGTTACGTCGTCCAAGGACGAAAGGGAGTGATGGATTCTTCTTCACCGCCAGTAGATTTAGAAATCATTAATTTCTTTCGACAGTAGCCTAGTGGTTGAGAGTATGAAACGCTAACTTAAAAGTCATGTATTCCAATCCACCATTCGACTATTATCGGAAACCACTTAATTAGAATGGTTTACACTTTTGCATGCCTTGAGCGCGAAGCGCGTAGGATGTTCTACTAGGGCCTAAAAATCAAGATTCCAACGTTTTGTCGCATGAATCTAGCAATCATTTTGTACATATAAAAAAAAGCACATTGTCAGAAAGTTAAATGATTGAGAATTTATTTTAAATCGATTAATTGCTATTTTAACATAAAAAGTGGTTTTAGTGGCTTATAGTGTGAATTTATCAAGACGGCATGGAGGGGTAAACACTATAACTTTTAAAAATATCAATGTTTTAAATCAATCTGTTTTTTAATCTCTTCATCTATCATATCTATCGACAAATCGCGAAGTTTTCGTTGTTTTGAGCAGCCTTGTAATAATTTATTTTACTACATAGACTGCCTCACTCACTCTCTTCGGGCCACAGAGTACATTATATATAAGGGGCTTCGGGCTCAGCCGCCGGCGTAAGTGGATACAGTATCGGTTGTTTGCAGCGGCTCGTGCTCAAAAAGATCGCTGTACAAATAAAAAATATTCGAAAAACCAAATTTGATACATACTCGATTATTATTATTATCACAGATTTTTATTACAATATTTTAAAGCACAAAATAAATAATAGTACTACGTACTAAAAGTAAGTAGGATTTATATATAAATATACTTCAATACGTCTTCGACTTTACGGAGTGACGGATATGATGATCATAATATGAGCATTATGAGTCGTGCACGTTTGGATTTTCTAAACTTTTTTTTAATTGAAGTTGGACATAAAATTATCTGAAAATTGGAAAAATAATACGTAATAAGGTTATTATTGAAAACTTGTATTTTTTTTATAGGATTAGGGTGACAAACGATCACACAGGCCACCTGATGGTAAGTGGTTGCTGCGGCCCATAGACATCTACATCTATCCTCTATTACAAATCAAAATGTAGATGCGTTGTCACCCGTGAGGACTAAGATGGAATGCCTCATTTCCTGTAAAAAGGGCTTCCGGCCACCTGCACTCACCAAGAGAAACGCAGACGTAAACCTCTACTTTACGCTGGTTTTCTGTGAGATCGTGGTACCACCCCGGTTCGAGCCGGCCCATCCGTGGCTCTACCACTGTTAAAACTGTGTGTATTTAAACTACTCATAAAAATTTAAATGCCTTAGCATGCACAATTTGATTTACCAATAGCTTTATTTATATAGCTTTATTTGTATTTATATAGAAATGTTAGAAATGTTTAAACATTTTCAATTAAAAAGAAGTAATCAATGAATTATTACTATCTAATGATACATGGCTCCTGCAGCCCATGGACACCTGTAAACAAATTTATAAGACTACTGATGCGTTTTATCATCATTTGCATCATTACCGCCCGTCATAGATTCACTGCTGAACATAGGATTCCTCCAAGGAATGCAATAAAGCTCTGTCCTGAGTAGCTACTATAGACTTCCTTCATCTCTCGTTACAACTCAACCTACTTAAAAGTCCACCGCAATTCATTAATCAAATTGCTCTATGTACAGCCTACCTATAATAACTATGGTACCCATAACTGTTTTTATCTGTATTTTTATTTCTATGAATAAAAAAAACATATGTTGTAGGAATTTACTTTTATCTTTTAAAAATGGTGAAATAAAAAATTTTGTACCATCGGCTTCAATATAAATAATTAAAAATTAAAAATTTTGTACAGCCGACTTCAGTATAACTTAAATACTTAACTCAAAAACTATTGGTCTGACCTTGATCAAATTCATATGGGACCACACGAGAAGTATTTTTTTTCAAAGAGTTATCGAAATCGGTTCACGCAGTAAAAAGTTATGAGGTAACACACTTACAAAACATACAGTCGAATTGAGTACCGTCTCCTTTTTGGAAGTCGGCAGATAAAATGACTACATCACCAATGTTGTCGAAGTCAAATACGCATTATTAATAATAACTTAAAAACTACTGGTCAGATCTAAATCAATTTACGTGGTAGAGCCATGCTACAGCTATATTAATAGTATAGTTGTAGCACGAATGGGTCAGCTCGATCGGGGAAGGACCGCGCTGTCAGAGAATACCAGCGTAAAATAGCAGCTTAACACTGCTGTGTTTCGTGTGGTGAGTGTAGAGAACCGGAGACCCTTTTTACTGGAAACGAGGCATTCCATCCTAGTCCTCAGGGGTGATTACACGTCTGCATTTTGATTCGTAATCGAAAATAGATGTAGATGTCTATGGGCCACAGGAACCACCTACCATCAGGTGAACTGTGTGCTCGTTTGACACCCATATCCTAAAAAAATGTAGCCTAAATAGATGCGTGACATCTTTGAGTTATTATACTCTCTCTCTAAACCTCATATTTGTACCGGAACAGTAAACAGCTGGTTGGCGGCGGAAATACGTAAGGAGATGGTAGGTACCCAAGTGAAATCCTAGACAGTAAAGAAGTCCCACCAATTAGAATAAAGCCGTTTACTACGACGTGGACTACAAGCCCTTTCGTCACTCTAATATTATAAAAAAGAACGAATTCAAAATAACCAAAATGTATTATTATCCGAACAAATTTGGAATGTACAAGTTCAAAAACAATTATTATACGGGAAAATTAAATCGTAATTTATCGCTCGTTATTCGTTACGGTGGCGGTGGTTCAAGTTTCTCTACAACCCTTAATCTTCTCACTTGTGGGTTGAACTTTCGAGGAAAGTGTTAAACCGCTTGTTTATGTCTGCAAAATAGGTATAGCGTTATATTAAGCCGCTTTTGTTGCTTCGCACTCGAGTTCCGAAGTTAAGGGTTACGTGTGTACATATTTAGAAATTTAGTGACGTATATTATAATTTTATGTTTATATTTAACGGTAAAGTTTCGGAGTTTACACGTGTGGTTATTTTTTACTAGAAAGGCGAACTCTTACCGCTTACTGCATGAATAAATAAAACTGCACGAGCAAAAATAGTTTTTTTTTAACCTGGTGGACATCTAAAACTTAAATAAAATGAAGAAAACTTAATTGACTTTTTTAATAACCTGGTAGTGGCTTTATCAATATCTTATACTTCGATTACTACACATAAGTTATTATTATTATTACTGTTTCTTTAAAAAGCTAGGTACCCATTGTAATGTACAATATAACGTTTTAATGACAATACTGGGTTAATTACATATATAATACATACATAAACACTCACGCCTGTCACCCAGAGGGGTAGGCAGAGACTACGGACTTCCATTTGGCGCGATCCTGACACACCTCTCTCACCTCCTTGACATCCATATATCGACGCATACACGCTTGTCGGTTAAGGGTAGGTACTCCTTATCTGGCCCATTTTTAATGTATCGACGATTTGGTCGATAAGCCTTCGTCTAGGGAGTCCCTTCCCAACCCTGCCGTTCACTTCTGCAACATAAATTTGATTTGACACTCTTTCCTCGTTCATTCTTTCTACATGACCAAACCATCGAAGCATTCCTTTCTTAATCCTTG